CTGAAGAAAATGTACACACTTAGTCTTATGCATGTTCTTCTTTTGACACTTAAAATTCTATATAAGAGCTGAAAAAGATGAAATTGTTACACTTGGGACATGTTCCACATTATTACAAGATTCTACTAGAATTCTCTGAGTGTTACAGCAAAACAGTGGATGAAGGAGAACCAGCTAATATAATATTTTTGAACTTTTACAACGTTTTTAATAAAGACCATCATGAGAAACTATTAAGGAAAATAAATTGTGGGTTAAAAACTGAATAAGACAGAGAGAACAAAGGCCTTCTTTGTACTAGAGCAGTGGTTCTCAACCAGGGGTCCGGGGCCCCCTGGGGGGCTGCAAGCAGGTTTCAGGGGTTCCGTTAAGCAGGGCCAGCATTAGAGTTGCTGGGGCCCAGGATAGAAAGCCAAAGCCCCACTGCATGGTGTAGTAAGAGGAGGCCCTGAGATATAAACCTTGGTATCAGAGGCCTGGTATGAGGCCTAAGGCCTGAACTAAAGTAATGGTCAAGACTTTGCTAACATAAAGCAAAGTTAAGCTGTGAGCCAGAGGCAGGCCCTGCTCACAGAAGCTGGCAAGAAAAGGGCTGATGTGGCAAAAAGAGACATACCTAAAAGGTACTGGACACCAGATATCAGAACATACACTAGGTAACATGGAACAGGCCGACCCATCCCAATGACAGGGACAAAAGGGTAAAATGATGGATAGAGTTGTTTTGATCGAACCAACATGTACAAGGTGAGAGGCGGCACCTTACTATGTAGAGGGGTTGTACCTTGCTACATAGAGGGGTTGCATCTCAATATGTCAGGAGTGATGCGTAACTTGTTTGTACCTGTGTATAAGAATGTATCCCTGGGGTGGTGTCTTTGTCCGGCTATGGGGGCAGTGGAAAGTCCCGCCACTGAGCCGGGTCCTTGCCAAGAAGCACTTTCTCGTAGTATGCCCCGTAGACTAAGTAATCTGCGGGGAACTGTAATTGTGTCCGAGATCGCAATAAACCTGGCCGAGGTGCTTTTGTACCTTACTAGACTCTGTGGTTATTGGGGGTTCTCGTCGGGTTTGCTGTGTCAGCTATCTGCGCAGAGCTGGGGCAGCACACAGAGGGAACACACGCACGCAGCTGAGTGATATCAACAGGAGAAAGCAGAGCACCACACCGGTAGCATCTGACAACACTGACTGAAGCTTGGGGCCCTGAGCCCTGCCACCTGTGGCTGAAGCCGAAGCCTGAGCAACTTAGCTTTGTGATGCCCCCCGTGGCATGGGGCCATGGGCAATTGCCCTGCTTGATACCTTCTACTACCAGCCCTGGCTTTTATATGCAGAAAACCAGTTGTGGCACAGGTGGGCCATGGAGTTTTTATAGCATGTCAGGGGGCCTCAGAAAGAAAAAGGTTGAGTACCCCGTACTAGAGATTAGCTAATATCAACAATTTGTGGCCAGCTGTTAGGGTAGCTACACTGGTGTAAGCCCCTGTTAGCTCGGAAAGCAGCAATTTGCATCAGAGACGCTTACCTATGGTTGAAAAGAAGTCAAGCTTCACTGCTGTAAATCACTGCTTTCCTTCTCTGTCTTCCACCTACACCTGTTGCTGGCCACCAATTACTAAAATCAGGCTTCATCCCCAGTCTGGCCATAATGCAGAAATAAATGGCTAATTTTCAACATCGCAAAAGGTTAACTGTGGACAATCCAGGGATCAGTTCTAGGACCAGTAGATAATACAGAATTATGTAGGTTAGTCAAGACTACTGAAGACTGGGAGAACTTCTAGAGGAGCCTAGGAAAACTAGGCAAATGGACATCACAGTGGCAAATGAAATTCATTATTGACAAATACAAGGTAATGCACATTGGAATGAATAGTTTGAACAACTAATGGACATTAATGGGGTCTAAATTAACTTCACAATTCAGGGCAAAGAGTTAGGGGCCATGATAAATGATGTGCAGCAGTGGCCAAAAACAGCAAACAAAAAGTTAGGGGAAATAAATCATCATAGAAAACATTAATATCTTTATGACCTTATATAAATTAATATATTTAATAATTTAATATTTAATATTCACCTGGAATATTGTTTTCAGTTTTAGTCATCCTATATAAAAGAAAAGGAGGGAGGGATAGCTCAGTGGTTTGCGCATTGGCCTGCTAAACCCAGGGTTGTGAGTTCAATCCTTGAAGGGGCCACTTAGGGATCTGGGGCAAAATCAGTACTTGGTCCTGCTAGTGAAGGCAGGGGGCTGGACTTAATGACCTTTCAAGGTCCCTTCCAGTGATAGGATATCTCCATATATTATATTAAATTGCAGAAATAAAAAGAGTACAGTGATGGCCAACCAAGATTGTTAGTGGCCCATAAAATCTACCTCATGAGGTGAGATTTAAAAGATAGGATTGTTAGCTCACAAAGGAGACACAGAATAGGGGATCTGATAAAGACATAGAAAATAATAATAATAATGGCATAGAGAAGGTGTAGGGACTAGGCCATGGGCAGTCATACTTAATGGTTAGAGTCAGATCCAGAGGTAGGAGTGAAACCAAGGACCAGATCTAGAGACAGAATCAGGAGCAAAGGAGCAAGGACCTGGAGTGAGGCAGGAACCAGGAACAGACAGAGGCAGGGCTTGGGAAATAAGCACCTACACATGGACTATAGTAACAGCCAGCCAGCAACTCACCTAGTTGCTCAGACAAATTCTTGTGCCTCTTTCTGGTTTAAGAAGTGCATCCCAGTCAATTGGTGGGACTGGATATCTCAACCTATCAGGAGCTTTGTGGGCAGGGCCCTTTAGGAGCTAGAGCTTTGCTGAACCACTGGAGAAGGGGGTAGGGGGAGGGAGGCACAGTCTAAGCACTGCCTGGGAACCCATGATCCCCACAGAAGGTAGATTGAATGCTCTTATTTACTCTCTTGTACCATAAGAGCAGGATAGCCACTTAAACTGATAGGCAATTAATTTAAAATAAATATTATTTTTGAACAATGCACAATTAACCTGTGGAACTCACCGGCTCTAGATAGAACTAAATCTAGACATTAGCAGGATTCAGAAATGGTTTAAGCATTTAATAAGAAAAACATTCAGTGTTAGATTAGATTTTTTTTTTTTAAATAAAAGGATAGAAACCCTAGCCCTGCCTCATGGCATAAGCCAACCAGTAAGGACCAGATTTTTAAAGATGTAGTAAGGTACCTAGTGGAATTTTCAAAAGCACCTTGGCATCTAATTTCCATTGAGACCAAAGTGCCCAAGTTTAAGTTATGACAACCTCTTCATAGCTACCCTATGGACAGCAACATTGCCAGGAATCTCCACAGTGTAGTGTTGTGCAGCTCTCTCCTGACCCTCCTTCCTTCCTCCAGTCACACCCCTACCCCAAGGCTTGTCAGGAGATCTTCAGAAGGCAGACTTGTGGCTCAGTGCCTGAGCATGGGGAATCCTCCCAGTGGGATACACAGATTCTTGGGGCCCTTTCTGCCACTGTAGCTTCTACCCTGTGTTGAGGGGCCAGAGTGGGGGATAAGGATTTCATCCTGAGTGTCTAAGTTATGTGATACAGTGGTTATTCTTATTAATGAATATTGTGGATCTATATGATCCATTCAAATGTAGTAGGAAAGGAGCCTGAAACATAAGCCCTTGTATCAGAGACCCGGTATGAGGCAGAACCTGCTCACAGAATTTGGCAGAAACAGGGCTGATATTGCAAAAATACACATTTTTAAGAAGTGCTAAGCACAAAGTACTTACACAAACACATTCCAATATTAAGTGGTACCAAAACATTCTGATATTAAGGATGGTACAAAAACATTTCCCAAGAACAACATGAACACACTAACCCCTCCTAAAATGGAAGGTCAGGCTGACAGTATGTAATAAAAATGTTTTAATTAAACCAACATGTACAAGATGATGGGTAATAACTAGCCACATTGTGGGCAGTAACTAATTATGTCAGAGGCAGTATGAACTTATTTGTATCCAGGTATAAAGTTGTGTCTCAGAGTGAGTATATTTGTCCAGCTGAGGGGGAATGGAAAGTCCCACCATTCACTGAGCTGTGTTCATTGTCACAGGCATACATGTCTTAGTATCCTCAGTCTGCCACATGCTATTACCACGCTTTGTCAACAAAAACCTAGCCTGGTGCCTTAATGAATCTTGTAGTCATTGGGCAGTTTGCTTGGGTCTGCTGTGCTGGCTGGCTGCGCAGAGCTGGGGATGGACGGACAGACAGACAGACACACACACACACACACACACACACACACACACACCCCCCCTAACCACAATAAGCACCTTGCAAAATTTCCACTGACTTGAGTGGCAGCCAAACTAGCCCATAATTGTACTTGAAAAGTTGGTTTAATCAGACAGAAGTTTAGTTAAAAAAAAACAAAAAACAAACAAACAAAAAAACACACACAACTCACTTGTTTGAAATCAGCAGTGTTGCTATTCTTGGTTTAGAACACCTGTTATGCATTTTAACTCAGTCAGGTCAAGAATACCCAGAGCAGAAGTGATATTCATATGAGAGCATGGAGACTACAAAATACATATTTAGAGAGTGTGCCAGGATAAGTGCCACAAAAGGATTGGAACTGCACTGCTGCTTTTCCAGCACCAAGGTTCTGAACAGAGATGTCTGAGACAACATTGGCTATGCCCAAGCAGGTGGTTTTCTGAAAAGAGCCACACATAGGGCAACATCAGACAAAAGACCTAACAAACAGATATTGAACTTATCCAACCACCATTTCAAAGCAATCCCCTATGGCCAGCTGAGATACACAAACTATAGGGACTGAATGACTGATGTAGTCTGCAGGCCTTGTTCACAGAGAATTTAACAGATTAAACCCTAGAGCCATGTTTGACATATTTAGTTTGGCTACACACATTTAGAGATCTATACAGGGATACTTAATAGCATTAAGACAAAAACAGCTTTCTATGGTTTTTTTTTTTAAAAAAAAAAAACATTTTTATTAATGAGTTTCCAATAAAAATCAATTATAACTGAAAAAAAATTCATAATTTGTACATGGATCTTGTAAAACAATACACAAAAGAATGCATTAAAGCATGTCTGCCAGCACCCTAACATGAGTATTACAGTAGTGACACAAAACAGAAACAATGGGAGATGTTACAGAAGCTCCCATTTTTCTATGCTCTAACAGTCCCCCTTGTAAATATGAAGGGCCAGAGCATCTGGAATAATCTGGTTTAGCTCCAATCGAAGTCAACGGCAATATTCCAGTTTAGGATCTGACCCTGAGTTTTGCAGCAATACCAGGTATTGGGGTGGGAGGTGGAATGCAGTTACTACATCTTCATTTCAAATACTTATGTAGTTTATTACTTGCCTTCCGTTAAAACAACTTGTCCAAGAGACCCCATGCCCAATTTCCTTTTGCAGGATGAGCCAGGTTTGATCTTACATTATTTTCCATATTACCAAAGCTAGGAAAGACTTGGGTGGGGTGGGGTGGGGTGGGGTGGCGGGGGAGAAAAAAAAAAATCAAGGCTTCCTTTCACTGAAGTTGAATTTTTTTTTTTTAAATTGAACCAGGCTCTAGTCTCCTTTGCCACATTAATATAATTACCACTATTCTGATTCTTCTACTTAAACATGACTCCCTTTAAGGGATAGACTGTTTAAATGATAATGACAAAAGAATGATATTTATACACAGTCTTGGAAGGCTCTGCTGATGTTCAGTTTAGTAAATAAATAATGCTAAAAACATTAAGGGTAGGGCTCTAGCTTGGTGTACACCTTAGTTAAACCAACAGATGAAGGGTACTTCAAGCTTCACAGGATTAGGACAGTAAAATCATTTTCCAAAAACAGTAGCAATATTTCTCAGTAAAAACATGGAAATTCAAATTTGGTTTTTAAGCAAAAATAGTGTTGCAGAGAACCAAACAAATCAATTCACATTACTAATAATAGCTGCTTCTAATGTAAAAAAAACAGGTCAAAGAGACTAGTTCTCAGACAGAACTAGTTTGAGGAATAAAATTGTGTACACACACACAAAATATATTGTAGGAGGCTCTCTAAGTCAAAGTAGTGCATTTAACATTGATGGGCTCTTCAGATTTAAGACATTGATTAGATTTTTTCCGGTAGTTTTCTCATAGTCTTGGGAAGTTTATTTCTTGACTTTTTGAAACTTGATTTCTTACTCCCTGCTAAGACAATAAAAGAAGTGGAGTTAGGAAAAATAGTCTGACAGTGTCATTCTACCTCACTTATTTTTTCCATAATGTTTATTAGAACACTCACACTGATCGCAACAGAGGTTACAGATTATTTTCCATTATATCTTCCTGTTTACGCACGTTCTAACCTTTCCAAAACACATTCAACTTTGAGGCTGAAATTTTCCCTTGACTGTACTTAAGAACCAGTATGAAAAAAAAAAAAAAAAAAAAAATAATTTTTCTAACCACATTTCTTTTGAAAAGCATGAAGCAAACAGAGCCAAAGTTTAAAAGTTAACTGCTGCTTTTGCCAAGTTACAAAAAATGGTTTTGATTTAATACAAAGTTCAAACATTTGAAAACTGCATACTGACTGTGTACAGTCATGTTATTTTTGTTAATTCAGAGCACAATAAAGGCCAGACCCATATCCCATTAGGGGTTTTTCCATTGACTTCAGTGGGCTTTGGGTCATGCCTTTTCAGTGCATATGTGAGCAGAGCTTGGGAAATGTGCACTTCTCCAAAAGTGATCGAGAGACTTTGCCTAATGCTTCTTTTTAAAATTTGCATCCATATGCCCAAAGGCCAGTCCTCAGCTCCTTTGCTTCTCTCCCAAATCTTCAGTTTTTAGGAGGGTTTTTATTGTTGAAATTAATCGGATACTTTATTCAAACAAACCAGACACACACCACTGCTTGAAGTGCCCTAAGGTCATTGATCAGTTTGAAGAGCAGATACATACTTATTCAAAGGAAAGAAAACAAACAGTCACCACAACTTTGGACACAACAACAACAAGGCGGCAGAAGAGTTGCCTGGGGGAGCAGAATGTGCTTAAGCTGCCTAAAAGTTGCCCATAATAGCACTCTCCTAGTGCTGAATCCCTTTCAGCTGTCCAGTGTCTAGGGAGTCTTAAAGTACAGTTTGCTGAAGAGGCTGGTTTGCTTCTCTTAGGCTTTGCCAACTAGTGCCTGTGTGTTATAGACAATATTATATTTCTTTATTCCTCCTCCCCCCCCCCCCACACACACTTTTAAAAAAAGAATCCTATTGCATTAATGCAACATTGCAGGCGCCAACGAGCTCTCAAAGTTAAAGCTGAATGTTCAACCTTATCCTTATCTTTTTGTGCATCTGCATCATGATGCCGTCTTACTTTGTGGTCATGTTATTTTGCATAATAAAATACAGTTTAGATAACCATATCATGTGATTAAAGCCCATATCATGATGCACAAAAAGGCAATGTTGCACGGTCAGCCTTGGGGTCCAATCCTACACATACTACCATGAAAAATGTTTACCACAGTAAGTAGTCCTACTGACTTCATCTTTACTTCACTATTCGTGGAGTGAAATCTTAGCCCCATTGCAGGCAGTGGCAAAACTACCATTGATTAGAATGAGGCTTGAATTTCACTCCATGATGCTTATAAGATCAAATCATTACCTCCCACATTTCCTGATATTGAGTCCTTGACTGCACAACCTACATGTTGCATAAACAGTCCTGTTGGTATTAAGTGTTCTAAACAGTTAAAAAAAAAAGTCACCTTAGAGTTTACTTTTGTTTTCAACAAATAAATAGTAACCCATGTAAACCCTAGATCCATCTTTAGATCTTCCCATTGATATCAATGATCAGCTATTGACAGGCTATAGCCTAACTGATTGGTGAAAGAAGTTCTGGTTGGTGAACACTTTAGGGTCAGCATATAGTATAATGCTACTATAGTATGGTGCTTTATTTTCAGCTCTGAAAAATTTACATATAAAATTAATGAAGCAAAATGGGAAGTATTAAAACCAGGGATAACACATATGTACACAATTTTCTAGTTAAAATGTCCATGGGGGAGTGGGGGGGGGGCGGGGACAACCCATTAGTGTTCTTACAACTTTCAATCAGGGTGAATATTGGGTCCTTTTGTGACCTTTGCAAGAAGCTGGGAAATGTCCAAAAGGGGATGGATCACTTGATGATTACCTGTTCTGTTCATTCCCTCTAGGGCACTTGGCATTGGCCACTGTTGGAAGGCAGGATACTGGGTTAGATGGACCTTTGGTCTGACCCAGTATGGCCGTTCTTATTTAACCATTTAGGGTTCACCTCCTATTTACTTTACTCAAGTTATTAGTCTCATTGACTTCTAGGGGACTATTCTTATAAGGAAAGCAGGTTATGGCCCCTGTGTCAGTTTTACCAGCTGCACACTGGTGATAATACTGACCCCCAACTGTTGGGGGTGTAATGTTTGTAAAGTGTGCTGAGGAAGAGCAGCTTTGTACAAATGCTAGTTAGTGTGTACGTTTTAAACAGTAAAAATAAAAATCTTACCTTTCTTGCAGATACTGTAACAATCTTTTTCGTTAACGAAGTTATTGGCGTTTCCACCGCAACCTGTATAGCTGAACTCTTCACATGATTGACTCTTTGAGTTGTAGTAATAGCGGGTCACAGAAGCTGAACACGATCCTTCATCTTTTGGGCTATAGCATAATGAGGGGCCAGCTTAAAAGAAAAAGAAATCACTGTAATCTTCAGTAGATTTGACTTGTTGCATGTCAAACAAAACTCGGGGCAATACTGCACCAAATTACCACTGACTCAGTAGGACAGGCTCCTTACGTCCCCATCAGTAAACCATATACTCATCTCAGATACCATATAAAGAGCCCTCACACAGTCACACTGCATGTGAGATTCAGCAGTTCATTGTAGATAGTGTTGTGTAGCTGATAAATATGAATAATTTGGAGCCACTTGCTGATTTCTTACACATTTATATAGGAATGACTTCAATAGGACTACTTCTGTGAGTAAGGAAGGCATAGTTTTGCCCTTAAGCCATTCAATGATTTGAGAAGTACAACTAAATAAATAATTTTTTTTTATACAAGTTAAGAATCGGATTAGTTTTTTTTCTTATCAGAATTGTGTCTTTGTTACTGTTGATATTTGCCCATTCTTTAAATGTGCAAGAGAAACTAAACTTTTCACCCGTGAAAGTGTTGCCAATTCTGCCATGAGCCAAAACTAATGAAGGTGTCATGATGCATGTTATGATGGCTGCTTATTCATCTAATGATAGTTTTATGCATCTGGTATACATTTGAGGTTCTGCTACAAAGCTTTAGCTAGTTACCTGCTTACAGTAACTATCTTTCCCTTTGAACATGAGGCAACAAAGAGTCACAACTCCCAATAAAAGTTCTTTGCCTTCTGAGATCAAATGAGTGCTGAAAGCAAATAACCTGGCCGTGTCTCTCAAGTCTTTAATTTTAAGGCGGCACTCTGTCCCTGAACTTCAGGCACCATCCACCTAAAGCCCAGCAACCACTGCGTTATACTGAACTGCGGCAACACAGGCACACACAACCAAATTTTGCCCTCAATTACACCCCTACAATCCCTCAGAAGTCGAGGGGTTGTCTGGATATAATTGTTGGGCAGGATTCAGGTTGTAATACAATATTTTTACATTGGTGGTTTTGTCCTTTAAGTAACAGGCAGTGGAGGCTGAGGATTCCTGAAAGTGTGTAGTCAAAATTGACATGCACAGATATGCTCAGAAACACATTATAGCAATGAGCAAATACTGTTTAAAGTCTGATCGAGGCAAAGCCTACTTTAAAGGTGTCTTCATAGGTAAAAAGAAAAACAACATTTGTATTGATAAACGCCATCTTTTTTATTGATAGCACATTAAAAAAAATAAGTTATTTTAGTAGAATGTTGGAGTAATCATTACTTTTCTGAGGCAAACAGTAGTCCACACAAGAATCTTCATCTTGGAAGTTGTTATCATTTCCATAGCATCCACCATAGATAAATTTCTCACACTTCATTGAACTCAGGTTGAAGGAATATCTTTTTAGGTAACCTCTACATGGTCCCGGATCAGCCTCCAGCCTGCATATTTTGGGCACTTCTATAATAAAGAGCATTTAAACATCAAAGCACAGTTAAGCTAAACTTTATTACATCTTTTCTCACCTGTTTTCCACTGGCAAAGATACTTCTCAACTTATTTAACTTCTGCTGATATGCTTAAGAGATATACAATTGATTGTTAAAATACAACATTAGACGGAGCATCTTAAATGCATTAGGGATAGACCATGATGAGCTCCAAAAAAAGCCAGGCAAATACAATCCATCTTAGTCCTTTCATCGGTGGAGTGATTTTATTGGTTTAGCCAATAAAGCCCTAAGAAGCCTCCATTCAGTGGGAGTTTTATCCTAGCTAGGGATGTAGGATCAACTACCAGTACTGTTACAGACAAAATGATAAATCCAGGAGAAAAAACAGTTGGCAAAATCCACTGAGTAAGGAAACCTTCACCTGCTCCCAGAAGTTTCTTGGTGTGGATATTTGTGAAGGCATCACACCTGAGGGCTACTAGCTAGGGTATCATTTTGGCTCACGTGATAGGCATATACACCTCTACCCAAATATAACATGACCCGATATAACAGGAATTCGGATATAACGCAGTAAAGCAGCACTCCAGAGGGGCGGGGCTCCGAACTCTGGCGGATCAAAGCAGGTTCGATATAACGCGGTTTCACCTAGAACGCAGTAAGATTTTTTTGCTCCCGAGGACAGCGTTATATTGGGGTAGAGGTTTATATGCAAACTACAACTTTTATTAAGTTTTATTGTAGCTGGAAGGAAATACTTTTTAAAAATAGAATTTGGGGTCTACGCCTTCAATTGATGAAGCAGCAAAATGTTGATAGAATGCAACCTTCCCCAGAAGTTCAAGGATGCGTTTAGACTAGGTAATGAGTACCCACAGGCATGGCTGCAGAGCATAGTAAAAGTTTTAGGAGGGAAACCCTGCAAAAGAGCCATAGAAATATTAGTGAAAAACAACAAGATGGAGCTTTCTGACCTTACTGAGCGAATAGGCTCCTAAGCTTATCTTTACAGAAAGCATGCACATCAGAAGGACTAAGGAGCTATTTTGATGTGCTGGGGGGATAAGAGAAGCGATCAGTAGTCTGTTTCGCTTAATGCAAACCTGGGCAGCGAACTATTAACCAACAGCACAGGATAACCAAGATGTCCCAGGATGCCCAAGCCAATTCTGGGGTGAGGACCCCTGTGTCTGAATAAAGGAAGAGAGAAAGGACTTACTCCGGATCATCCAGCAGCTTTTCTCACAGCTTTCCAAGCTTCGGAAGTTGTTGGCATTGCCCTCGCAGCCCCCGTAAGTGAACTCCTGGCATGTCTGAGTGTACCTGTTGTAGTACCACCTCGGGATGAGAGCCCGGCAGGGACCTTCCTCTGGGGGCAGCAGGCAGACCTCTTGGTTTGGGGCTGTAAAGAGAGACAAGCGCTTTCGGGGTCAGTCACCAGGCAGGGAGGCAACGGGCCAGGGCAGTTTCCACGTGGCCGGCTTTCAGCCTTAGCAGAAAGAGGGGAGGGAAGACGCTAGGAGAAGTTTACAAGGCAGGAGGAAGCGGAGGGTGAGCTTCGCCCCCAGCATGCTGAATATAAAACTCTTGGGGGGCTTGGCGGCGGGAGCCAGCCCACTGGAGAGACAGAGCTTGGAGCTAGCGCAAGAAGCGTCACCGGACAAAACCGGGATGGAGGGAACCACAGTGGTTTGTCCAAGGACTAAACACACCCAGGAAAGCCGCGCTGAGCCGAACCCCCTCTCGCAGCTTGCCAGGAGCTCCGCTGTTACCTGCGAGCGCCCGGGGAGCGCCCAGAACCTGCTCCAACAGCAGCAGCAGCGAGCCCAGCGCTAGGCAGCTCCGGAAGCTGGCAGATGAGTTCATTGCCTTTGCCTACAGTAGAGCCAAGCCCGGGATGGAGACGTGGAACCAAGGCCGAGACGCTTCTGCTGCAGGGCAACCGATCGGGAGAGCGAGCCGACGCTTGTCCTCCCCTGCTCCATCTCCCGGTCCCTTATATCCGCCGCGATCACCTCCTCCCGCGGGGCCGCAGAGCGTGGGTGTGGCGCGCAGCCTGAGTCACGCCTATTTACAAGGGCGGCGATTCGAACAGCCCATTCACACCGCTTGGGAGCGCGTCACGCTGGCTCCGCAGCCAGGTTCCATCGGGTCATGGGCAGTTCCCAGTAGAGTAACTTCGGGGAAGGTCCGTTTGCTCACTCCGGGGGGCCCTGCAGAACATCTAGGAGGGAAAGTGGGGGCGAGGAGGATATAATAGAAAAGCATTAAAAATTGCTCGAGTGAGCCAAGAGTAGCATATCAGGGAGTCATGAGAGTGAGGAATGCTTTAAACTTCCTCGGCAATGATGTAAGGCAAGATTGCCCCATTGTCACCTGTATGTATCAATCATAAATCAGGCTGTACAATAATCAAACCTACTTCTGGGGAGAAGGAAGGTTTCTGACTTATCCTGCTGATCACGGTCATATCAAACGATACTAACCCCTCCTTTCTTACCTTTCCTTTTCAGCTAGTGGGTGCCTCTTCAAGTGTTAGTCATTGTTTCATTTGACAGGTTTCAGAGTGGTAGCGGTGTTAGTCTGTATCAGCAAAAACAACAAGGAGTTCTTGACAAACATAGAAACTTCAGTGGATTTTCAAAAAGCATGCAATAAAGTTCCACGTCAAAAATTAATGTCTGAGGAATCATGGAATGAGTAATAAAATAGGATGCTAGATAGAAAGTTAGTTGAAAAGCAGGAGTCAAAGGGTAATAAACTTCAAGCTTGGAAGCTCTATAAAAAGAGTAGCTTGGGGTCAGTTTGAGGACCACACTTGTTTTAAAATATGCACTACACAAAGGAGGCCACTGGAAAAGAAAAAAGGGGAAAAAAAGAACGAGGAGTCCTTGTGGCACTTTAGAGACTAACAAATGTATTTGGACATAAGATTTTGTGGGCTAGAACCTACTTCATCAGATACATGGAGTGGAAAATACAGTAGCAGATATATATATACACATAATACATGAAAAGATGGGAGTTGCCTTACCAAGTGGGGGGTCAGTCTAACGAGACAATTCAATTAACAGTAGAATACCAAGGGAGGAAAAATCACTTTTGTAGTGGTAATGAGGGTGGCCCATTTCAAACAGTTGACAAGAAGGTGTGAGTAACAGTAGGGGGAAATTAGTTTTTGTAATGACCATCCACTCCCTGTCTTTATTCAGGCCTAATTTGATGGTGTCCAGTTTTAAAATTAATTCCAGTTCTGCAGTTTCACATTGGAGTCTGTTTTTGAAGTTTTTTTGTTGAACAATTGCCACTTTTAAGGCTATTATTGAGTGACTGGGGAGATTGAAGTGTTCTGCTGGTTTTTGAATGTTGTAATTCCTGATGTCAGATTTGTGTCCATTTATTCTTTTTCATAGAGACTATCCGGTTTGGCCAATGTACATGGCAGAGGGGCATTGCTGGCACATGATGGTATATATCACATTGGTAGATGTGCAGGTGAATGAGCCCCTGATGGTGTGGCTGATATAGTTAGGTCCTATGGTGGTGTCCCTTGAATAGATATGCGGACAGAGTTGGCACTGGGGTTTGTTACAGGGATTGGTTCCTGGCTTAGTGTTTTTGTTGTGTGGTGTGTAGTTGCTGGTGAGTATTTGTTTCACGTTGGGGGCCTATCTCCCAAGGTCTATGAGAGTGAGGGATCATCCTTCAGGATAGGTTATAGATCCTTGATGATGTGCTGGAGAGGTTTTAGTTGGGGGCTGTAGGTGATGGCTAGTGGCGTTCTGTTACTTTGTTTTTTGGGCCTGTCTTGTAGTAGGTGATTTCTGGGTACCCTTCTGGCTCTGTCAATCTGTTTCTTCACTTCACCAGGTGGATATTGTAGTTTTAAGAATGCTGGATAGAAATTCTGTAGGTATTTGTCTCTGTCTGAGGGATTGGAGCAAATGCAGTTGTATCTCAGAGCTTGGCTGTAGACAATGGATCGTGTGATGTGGTCTGGATGAAAGAAGAAGAATAAAATCTTAGGTAAAAATAACTCTATCCCCTGATCTTCCTCTGTTGTCCTCCCTCCCCCTCACTCCTTCTTATTGTCATCCTGACTATACTGTGTCTACCTGAGATGGCTAGATCCTTGGAGCAAGAAGGACTTGTCATTTTTATTTATTTGCAAAATGTCATGTACACCTACAGTCTGTATAAATAAAATATATACAAATAAAGAGGTACCTTTGATGTATTTTAATAATCAACTTTTCTGCAGTGGAGGATATGCAAGCTAAAGCTAATACAGGAAATTTTCCAGAAAGGGGAAAAAGCAAAGAGAAGAAAATTCACAGTGTTGTTCATATTGACCCACAAACCACCTTGTTTGTAGAGCGCTCTCCCTATATTTCTTTCCTGTATTTCTATCATCCATCTGCATTCTCTCTTTACAATATATCCTTTAGATTTTATATTTATGCTAACACATATATATAATCAGATTGCTAAAGAATAAATGAATGGCTTAGTGACACAGACCAAACTACCTAAATACAATCTGAGCTGTTACCACAAGGACACAGCTGTCATGTTTAGTAATCCTGTTATTGAGACAGTTAATAACAGATGTCCTGGGTTTTAGTTAGTGTTATTAGTAGCATCAGATGTAAAGAAACTTGTCTTCCTGAAGTGCAAACATACCTTTTCCATTTCTTGCAAAGTCAAAATGTCATTTTTCTAATATTAACAAAGTCTCAACTGACTTAAATGTGACTAGACTGATGTTCTTTAGAATGCACCATATTTGGTTAGAATTGAAAAAAATTCTAATCCTTTAAACAAACAGCAGAATGAATGCACTCACTTCCACCATCACACACACACACATAAACCATTGTTTAATTTAAACCTATCATTTTTGCAGTGCAGTGCAAAATTTAGTCAACTGCGCTTTCAGTTCAACAAGACAATAGATTTCAAATGTAGACCTGTTCTTAATAAGAAAGAAGAGACTCATAAAATCACCATACAAATGGGCCTTTGCCTTAGGGTGTTATGTGATAACATGCACAGTTGCAGATGCTGAAATCTTGCTTTTTCATGTTATTCCACTGAGAATTAGGAAGTGTTGTTTACTCCTCATAACAAAAGAACTAGGGGTCACCAAATGAAATTAATAGGCAGCAGGTTTAAAACAACCAAAAGGAAGTATTTCTTCACACAACACACAGTCAACCTGTGGAACTCTTTGCCAGATGATGTTGTGAAAGCCAAGACTATAACAGGGTTCAAAAAAGAACTAGATAAATCCATGGAGGATAGGTCCATCAATGGCTATTAGCCAGGATGGAGTCCCTAGCCTCTGTTTGCCAGAAGCGGGAATGGATCACTTGATGATTACCTGTTCTGTTCATTCCATTAGGGGAACCTGGCATTGGCCACTGTCAGAAGACAGGATACTGGGCTAGATGGACCTTTTGTCTGACCAGTATGGCCATTCTTATGACCTCAATAGAACTAGTCATATGCATAAAGTGAGTAAGATTTGCCTCCATTATTGGAGTCATTTGGGGCGATAGAGTGGCAAGAACCATAGCTTTCCTAAATAGGAGTCACATTTGACATACCCATAAAGATAAGATGCTACGAAAGTGTTCACTAAGTCCTCTACCAATGTGATCCTAATGCACATTTGCTTTTTACCTGTGACTCTAAAGCAGGGATTGGCAACCTTTCAGAAGTGGTGTGCCAAGTCTTCATTTATTCACTCTAATTTAAGGTTTTGCATGCCAGTAATACATTTTAACATTTTTAGAAGGTCTCTTTCTACAAGTCTATAATATATAACTAAACTATTGTTGTGTGTAAAGTAAATAAGGTTTTTAAAATGTTGAAGAAGCTTCACTTAAAATTAAATTAAAATGCAGAGCTCCCCATACCGGTAGCCAGGACCCAGGTAGCGTGAGTGCCACTGAAAATCAGTTTGCGTGCTGCCTTCGGCACGCGTGCCATAGGATGCCTACCCCTGCTCTAAAGGGTAGATACTAGGGTAGGTAAGCAGAAACTTTGTAAGGTACAAAGTGTGGCAGTGGTGATACAAGGAAATAGAAGCACTGAGACACAGGCAGCAGGAGTGGTGCTGGGCAGTGGCAGTGCCTAGTAGTGAAAACCAGGAGCTGGAATTTGATTCTAAAAGCAACAGGTAGGTAAGTGGTGAAAATAAGGGAATGAACAGTGAGAAAGGGAATTTATTTTAGCAGCTACATTCTGGGGAGACGGTTGGTGGACAAGGTAAAAATCAGGTAGGCCAGAGAAGGGAAGGTTGCAGTGGTTGAAGCAGAAGACTGAAGCCTTCAAAAAAAAAAAAGATGGATCTTGGGGTATTTTTTTTTTTTATAAGAGCTGAAAGAAGTTGCATAGCTGGTAGGGGTTGGGAGAAGGCAAAAGGAAAAACATGACATCACAGTACTGAGCTCTCCTTGTTCCATGTGGTCACTTGTATGGTCAGATGTGTAACCCTAAGGATATAGTAATACAGCCTTATTCAGTGGAATGAGACATGGCTGTCTGACTGTATTAATTATTATATTACAGTAGTAGCCAGAGGTCCCTCAGGATCTAGGATCCATTGTGTTAGACACTGAACAAACACATTAAAACAGTTCATGCCCCAGAGAGTGTAGACTCTGAAGAGATGATACAGAAAGTGAGGGTAAGAAATGGTGAAAGTTAGGAGCGAGGGAAGACAATTTCCCATCTGTGACTGTCCTCACTCAGGAGTTGGTTGGTAGAGTAGCATTTCCTAGTGGTCAGGGTTTAGGCCCATGCCCTGCAGGGAGCTGTTGGTAGGGGAGCTCCAGCCTTCCCACTCCACCAGGCTCTGACCCAGGGCTCTTTGAGGACTATCAGTAGTCTGACAGCCAGGGAGACTTAAGGCTGCCCTTCCTACGATTGTTTCTGGGTAGGGTGACCAGACAGCAAGTGTGAAAAATCAGGAAGGGAAGGGGGGGGGGGAGGAATAGGAGCCTATATAAGAAAGAGACCCAAAAATCAGGACTGTCCCTATAAAATCAGGACATCCGGTCACCCTATTCCTGGGTCACCATCTGGGTTTAGGCAGCATGAGGGTTGTCCACTCACTACACAGCATCTTCTGGCAGCTACATATAGCATGTTAGTTCTCTTCCTGGGTGGCAACTGCCTCCTCCTGCAACATGGGCCCCTCTCCTGGGGCAGACCAGATCCCCTGCTGGGGTAGTCCAAACAAAGTAGAGGGGGATTAACAAAACTCAGAGTCCACCTGCAGGGGAGAAATGCTTCCTTCTCAGGCTCTCTCTGTAGCAGCTCCTCCCTTCCCTCAGGGAGGGACCCTTTGGCAGTTGTCATAGGGAGAGATTCTGCCTTTCTTTCAGCTCTCTTCAGATGACACTGAAGATCACAGGTCTGCTATCTTCCCTGGTCTGCCCCCTACTTTTTAACTCCTGCTTGTAATCAGGTGCAGACTCAGCCAGCGGCACCTCTTACTGGTCATCTCAGGAATTAGCTCACCAGTCATCAGAGCACCCTCTGCAGGGCAGGTATCCCACCTGTCATAGGCCCCCTGTGTCCCTCCCAGACCCCAGTGCCCTTGTCTTGGGTGCTGCCCCCCCCAGCAGTACCTCAGACTCTCTGGGTCTCCCCACCCCCTATCCCCACATCACCTCTGTCATGGCTACTGCCAGTCACCATCTAGCCCCCATGCCCTGGGGCAGACTGCAGTCTATCAGCCAATCATCACAGGCAATAAGGGGTTTGGACTAGCTGCCTTTACCCACCCTCAGGCTGCCCCTCTGCAACCCCAACACCTATGTGGGCCTAGGACCAGGCCCTGCAGTCTGGGGAGTTGCTGGCCTAGGGCTTCCCAGCCCCCACAGCCTTTTCCCCAGCCCTGCCTCACTCTAGGTCCCTGGGGTGAGTTCCCCAGCAGCAATAGCCACCACCCCACTCGTTCACTCACACTCTCTCTCTCTCTCATCAGAGTGAGACTCCTGAGCTCCTGGCTGCCCTGGCCTTCTTATAAGGCCTAGCTGCTCAGTTTGGGGCATGGCCCCAGCTGCAGCCAATCAGCGGGGGTTTTGCTCCCTTCCGTAGCCCCAGCCCTCTGCAGGGCTTTTCCAACCCCTTCAGGGCTGAAGCCGGTGTTCACCTTACTACACAGCTCTAGGAGGGTTGGGATAACTCAGTGGTTTGAGCATTAGCCTGCTAAACCCAGGGTTGTGAGTTCAATTCTTGAGGGAGCCACTTAGGGATTTGGGGCAAAATCAGTACTTGGTCCTGCTAGTGAAGGCAAGGGGCCAGACTCAATGACCTTTCAGGGTCCCTTCTGGAGATAGGATATCTCCATATATTATTATTATTTTCTGCAGGTGTGAGGGCAGGGGCTGGCTGAGCCCAGAGCCATTCCTTTACCCCTTGTTGCCCAGTGTGGGGTTTGTGTACCCCATCACACCTTCCTATATTGAATCCAGCACCTATGGCAACTAGACAGGGCCATGTTGTAGTTTGTGTTACTTATCTGTGTATCCACACATGCCACACTCATATCTCCAGACATGATCCTGATTGGCACAGGGCTGGGCTGGGTTGGCTGAGCTACATTCAGAACAGGAACCCGGATTGTTTTAAGTACTGCAATCCCATGTTTTCAATCAGCAGCTTGTCCCACTGCTGCTCCCAACCTCTTCCACGCCTGGCAAAGGAGCTGCACATATATTAGACAAGGAAGCTGTGGGATGCTTCTGTCCTATGCTTGTTGTGGCTTGCTACAGTGGTAAAGTTGTGTTTTTAATGAGACTAGATGGGTGATGTAATATCTTTTACTGAAGGAACTTCTGTTGGTGAGAGAGACAAGCTTTGCAGTAGAGTTCTGCTCTAAAGCTTGTCTCTCTCACCAGCAGAAGCTGGTCCAATAACATATATTACTAAAAAGCCCACCTCCTTACTCTAATATCTTGGGACCAACAGGGCTACAACCACATTCCAAACAACATATTTTTAATAGGCAGGCATTGAATCGGGTCCTCTCGCCTTTTGTTGAAGCAATTGTGCTGCTTATGCAAAATGCTTTACTTGGAAGGGGGAGAATGGCAGTACAAGGGAGAAAACAGTGAAGGGGGGGGGGATTGCAAAACATCGCACTCCGTTAACTGGAATCACACCACACAGCTCTCCCCGCAGAGTTTGCCACCCAACCTTTCCTGTTCGCATCCCCAACAGAGAAAATAAAGTCAGATGAATCATGAGTTCCAAATGTTTACAGAGTGTTTTAATTTAACAAAAGGAAGAAACTATTTCAAGGGGAATTTCGTGGTCCTTTTCCAGACTGTGCTCTGTGAACCAGATCACTCTTGCTGCAACACTGTTATATGAGTCTATATGCCTGTCTTAACCGCCCCCACTTTCCTCCACCAGCCTTGTCATTCGGTACCACCATGAATCTGGCACACAAAAAGGCCGGACATTTCCGTAGCAAATCTGCTTCCTCTCAAACGATGTGTGTTCTAAATATGTCTGGCTTCTTCCTTGTGGAGAAAGTTTTCAGCACACACATCCTCTTCCCCAGAACAGTCAGCCCTGCTCACTTCCGTGCCTTGTTCTGCATTACGCTGGTGATACTGCGCCTAGGTATCTAATTCTGTGTTAATACCAGATTAAATACACTGGGATTTAAATGGATTAATCAATGATACCCGAACCCCCCCCCACCTCCTCTGTTACTGGCCGGCCAAGTTTACATAAAAGAGTTGATACCTATTTATACAGCAAAGGAGAGACTGAAGGTTTGAATGGAGGGAAGGGGAGGGAAAAGTAACTCGTTGTGCGTTATTGTACCCATGTGTGCAGTGTCTAGTGTAAACGTCCTCTCGGTCAGGGTGGAAGGGTGGGGGTCAAACTGCTGGGTTTGATCCGTTTAGGAAGTTTATGCTGATGATTTAAAACCCAGGAGTCGCTGGTGTGAGTAGCTAGCTGGGGCACTCTGGGGAAGGTGCATGAGGGAGTTTATTGGAGAGGAAATTGCTACTTCAGAGAATCGGGTCAATTTCGCCCGGGACAACAGTAAGTCATGCCCTCGGGGGTCGGGGGGGGGCTCTTTCGTGAACCGCTGGGTCCCGGCATCTCCCCCAAGAGGGTAACTCGCTCCCCTTTTTACAACTAGAAAATGCCGGCGATCAATATAGAGGATCTGAGCGAAAAGGATAAACTGAAAATGGAAGTTGAGCAGCTCCGGAAAGAAGTGAAGTTGGAAAGACAACCGGTGAGTTCCCCCAGGCTGCCCCCTCCCCAGCCCCCGGAGAACCTGCGGCTGAAATAGCCCCATCGCCCCGGGGAGGCAGATTGGAGCTGAGGTCTGGCTGGGGCGTGAACAAGATCTTTAGCTCTCTAGTCTCCGGGGTTGGGGGAGGGGGGGGGACTTTGGAAGTAACAAAGTAACACTTTGGTTGTAACAACAACAACAACAACAATGCCTAAAATAACCTCTCACTGGTGAGCGCCGCAGTGTCTCTCGCAGCGCGGAGAAGGGTTTTCACGCCCCACTGAAGCGCTGACCCTCCTTATGGGAGTGAAATGAGACATGCAGATAGATGCCTGCGCGGTTAAATGAGCTGGTTAATTTCGCCTATCAATGGCTCACTGATGGGAGAAAAGGCGCAGAAGCGCGATCTCAGACTGGGGAAAGGATTTCAGACCCCACGAGCTCTCCCTTCTTGCAAAAGGCGGAGGTGGGGATTGAAGAGATGAAACAGACATTGGGGCCGTGATGTCTTTGTGTGTTTTTAAAATATACTTAACGCTCAGTAACTTTTAATGAATTTTAGATTAGTTTCTCGCTCCCCACGTAGTTTAGTTTCTGGTGACTGTACCTGCTACCCTCCGTCACAGAAATCGGAGCTAAAAACTTCTGAAAACTATAGGAAGGAGGATCCAGACTTATGGAGGTTAAATGTGAGTGATACAGCCTGAGAAATGTCCCTATAATTGTAGGAAAAAAAGAGGAAAACACATTAACAAGTTAATCATAGGGTGTTAGTGCTAAATTCGGTATTCTCTGCTGCTAAAACCCAAGGGCTCAGCGAGACTGGGTGTGGTGCAGTTGGCACAGGGCAGCTGAACTGCTCTCTAAAGAGGAAATAAAGACAAGGGACCATTCAGACTTTCAAACTGTGGGATGCAATATCCACTGTGTGCTGAACATTGGAATATGTGACCTCAACCATGGGATTTTCTCCCCCACTGAATTTGACGGAAATAGACATTTTGGAGATGGTCTAGAACACAAAATGATTTTGCTGGTTTCTAGAAACCAAGTCCTATCCTTCAAAACAGCCTTGTTAGTTAAAACAAAACTGTACAAGCGAGTGGTTCTCAGACTCTGGTCTCCAGAGTTCTTTCTGGTGCTTTGCAGGGCTTCCAGGCCAGACACAGAATGGCCTGGGAGCCTAGGAGGAATTCCCCAAAGTCTCTCCCTATTGTGAAGTGGTCCACAGAAGGAGAACAGTTGTTGTAGAACCGTGGCCCATAAGGACCGATTCAAAAGTCAAAGGTGTTTTGTTGTTGTTTCTGGTGATTCACCTTGTGAAGTAGTATGCAGTCAACAACCTGAGATGTATTTTACCGTGCACATTTTCTGTAGATGAACATTCTTGATCCATAGATTTTTGCATCTGCTCCTGTTCCCACTGGAGTCATTGACAAAACTCCTGTTTACTTCAGTGGGAGCAGGATGGGGCCCTGAATTTAATCCTTGATCCTGTATCTACTTAAGCAGCTGTATAACTTTACTCACATGACGTCAATGGGACTATCCATCTGAATAAAGTTACAGATGCTTAGCCTGCAGGTTCAGGGACTTTGCTTAGAAACAAAATATTGATGTCAGAGGTGTATTTTAGTCCATGAAATAGATGTCAGTGATTTTTTTTAGATTGATTATAGTTATTTAGATTACAAGAGAACCAAGATGCTCCAATGGGATCCAGAGCCCCTTGCAATGTGTATAAATGCATATTAACATCTGATTCTTGCCTCAAAAACATTGCAGTGACTAAAAAACACTCCATAGGATGCACATAATCTAATGCGTTTAAAAAGAAAAGACATTATTGTAAATAAGATGAGTCTGAGAAATTTAGGAGAAGACATAATTGGGAATCTCCATAATGCCAGCAGAGAGAGTGTCCCTCACCTGTATGGATGTACCCTGTTAGGTTGCATTGTAATACTTACCAGTCTTTTATTTCCTGTCAATTACGTTTCCCATTATCCATGTGCATAAATCACCATTTGATATAAGAATTTTGTGCACATACAGAACCACATCCCCTATTCCTCTCATGGACAAAAGCAAATATGCCTATCAAAGTCCCTTTGCTTTCAACCAAATGCAAAAAACCCTCTTCATCATTTTGACACGATGTAGTGAGGAAATTTCCTTTAAAATAATCTCCCCTTGGTGAATAAAAATATACAGATTCATACTCAAGAGAAATGTTTCTCATAAGCAAAAAGGATCCTCCTCTTCAAGATCCAAACAAAATAAGCCCCCAATCCTGCAAGCGCTTTCACACATGCTTTACCACCATGAATAGTCCCAACTGAAATCAATGGATCTGCTCATGGTAGTAAAGCTAAGTATGTGCATAAGAGTTTGCAGGATGGGATCCAAGTTATTAACCATAGGCCTATATTTCTCCCTACTGTGACTTAGTCATAGGTTATGGGTAATTAGATCTTAGTCGATACACTTAATGGCCTAAGACTTAACTTTTCATAATCTAGTAGCAGGGGTGCTGAGAGCCATCAAACCAAACTGTAAACCCTGTATATGATGGAAACCACTTCAAGCCAGAGGTGTGGCACCCCTAGCATCCCTACTTCCAGCACCTATGTCCATTAGAATCTCTCTATTGTAAGTAGGCCAGATGTACTGATTCTGTTGTAATGACTATTCTACTTCTATTTCTATTATATATAAGTTCTTATACCACATTCATCACCATAGTAGCTGAACATCTTCCTGTAGTGACTATGTACCTACCATTTGTTGCTTGTTTCCTCATCCTCTTTCCTTTGGGGAGAGAAGCATGTGTTTTATTTTGGTAGGTTTAATTTTGTTTGGTTGAACAAAACACAATAAATGAGGCAGAGGAAGTGCCCAAATCCACTAAAAATGGAAAGAATAGCCAGTGTGTCAAGTTTTTCCCTTCCCAGAAACAATAGAAGTCCCTTCCTGGAGACTCCTCTTAACTGTGCCTCTGCAGGGCTCTCTTGGAAATGGGAGGGGAATGCTGGGAAGAAGCAACTCTATCCAGAATGCAGTCCTCAAACGTTCCAGATATCTAAGGTATCAGGGACAAGTTGTTGCTTCTGTAGGTGAAGCCATGTTGCTCCAAGGAAGAGGAAATCAGAGGGATGCATAAACAAAGGGGATCTCCAGAATCTGTGGGATTTGCCCATCGGGTCTGGAGACTGAAACCCTGGCCTTTTCTGTAGGGTTTCAAATCGCTCTTCCTTGGGAGAGCACAGAACATAGACATTTCTCTAGGACAGGAGTTCTCAACCTTTTTCTTTCTGAGGCCTTCTCTTTCTCCCCTCCCCCCGCTATAAAAATTCCATGGCCCATCTGTGACACAATAACTGGTTTTCTGCTGCATATAAAAGTCAGGGCCCGCATTACGGGGTAGCAAGCAGGGCAATTGATTAGGATTAATGATTAGGGGTATGGAACGGCTTCCGTATGAGGAGAGATTAATAAGACTGCCACTTTTCAGCTTGGAAAAGAGACAACTAAAGGGGAATATGATAGGGGTCTATAAAATCATGAGTGATGTGGAGCAAGTAAATAAGGAAGTGTTATTTACTCCTTCTCCTAACACAAGAACTGGGGGTCACCAAATGAAATTAATGGGCAGCAGGTTTAAAACAAACAAAAGGAAGTATTTCTTCACACAACACACAGTCAACCTATGGAACTCTTTGCCAGAGGATATTGTGAAGGCCAAGACTATAACAGGGTTAAAAAATGAATTAGATAAATTCATGGAGGATAGGTCCATTAATGGCTATTAGCCAGGATGGACAGGGATGGTGTCCCTAGCCTCTGTTTGTCAGAAACTGGGAATGGGCAACAGGGCATGGATCACTTGATGATTACCTGTCCTGTTCATTCCCTCTGGGTCACGTGGCATTGGCCATTGTCGGAAGATAGGATACTGGGCTAGATGGACCTTTGATCTGACCCAGTAGGGCCATTCTTATGTTCTTATGCCACAGGGGCCCTGCAAAGCTACATCGCTCAGGTTTAAGCTTCAGCCCCAGGTGGCGGGGCTTGGGACTCAGGGCCCTGGGCTTCAGCCCAGTATGGTGGGTTTTAGGCTTTCTGCCCTGAGCCCCAGCAAGTCTAATGCTGGCCCTACTTTGCAGACCCCCTGAAGCTTGTTTGCGGCCCCTCCAGGGGGCCCTGGACTCCTGGTTGAGAACCACTGCTCTAGGAGTTTTCCCCCTTCTGTAGTTCTCTAAATTGGAAGGGAGACTATAGTCCCATGTTAGTAGATGTTACTTTGCTATGAATTTGTCACAAAATATCACACAGAATATTATAGTAGATGCTCGTGAGTAGGAACATACAGTGCTCTTTTGTTATGTTGCTCCTAAGCAGCTGTTGCTGTTATGGGGAGTGTCGACAATTCAGTGGGGAAAGTGTTCTCAGGGGAAATGTTGCTCGTAAGGGGAGGTTGCTCTTACAAAGTGTTGCTGCAAACAAGCGTCTACTGGAAGACCACTGTATGCTTGAAAGGACTATGACAATGTGTTTTTCATAATTTTTAGGATGTTATACTAACTGCTGTTTATAATAAGCCTTTGTAACCGATAAGTGAAATATGCTTCCTTGTTGAATTTTTCTTTCATTCAACATGCTTGTTATTGTAGGACTACACCTTGACTGTTGGCTTTTGTTATAATAGAAAAAAGGGTACTGAAGCATTTGTTTGGAAAAATGTGTAATGTTACATTGACTTTGGGTTCAAATTCTACTGATTCTGCAGCAGTTGCATATGAATACCATTGAAATCAATGTGAGTTTTGTGTGATCCTAATTTAATTACATTATTAGTTTTTAGTTTTTTATTTTTAAATCAGTGGAGGATTTTTATGTGCAGTAACTGCAGGACTAGGCTGAATATCATCCATACTATGATATGTTTTCACACAGAAGCTCATGTGGATGTGTGATGCAACATTAAACATCCTGGGCACACTTCTGAGCTGTTGCTTGCAGATTTAAAAAAAAATATATCTTAGCCAACCGTTTCAAAGGTAACTATTGATTTTTGAGTGCAACTTGAGATACTTTTAAAAGCCTGATTTTCAGAAGGAGAATGCTCAGTATTTTCTGAAAAGGAGGCTCCTAAAAGGTGTCTCAAGTTGGACACCAAAGTATTGATGCATCCAGAATTACTAGGCACTTTTGAAAAATATGACCTTTACTTCTTTTACCAATAAATATGAAACCCATACTTGGAAGGGGAACAAACAGCTCACCAAATAAATCATTTATTGACTGGTTCAGAAGAAAAAAATACATTTTACAAAACTGTAGGAGGAATAAAAAGAAAAGAAACTTGACTTTTAACATACTTTCAAATTTAATAATGTTAGAGATTATTATAACAAGTATATTTTTGTTTTAAATTTAGGGCCTGATTTTTGGAGGTGCTCAGTGATCACATGTGGAGCACTGGCAGCATCAGGTCCTTTTACATATAATGTAAATATAAGAAAGAGAAAAAGAATGTTATGAAGTGAACGTTGTCTTTTTATTCTAATGCGAAATGTGATTGCTATGTATAAAGCAGAACCTTATTTCTTCTTTTATTTAAGGTGTCCAAATGTTCTGAAGATATAAAGAACTACATTGAAGAAAGATCTGGAGAGGATCCTTTGGTCAAGGGTATTCCTGAAGACCGGAATCCCTTTAAAGAGAAAGGAGGCTGTGTCATTGCATGAAAGAAAAGTCTGCAATTGGAACATACGTTATTGTACCTTTAGTGGATAACTATTTGTCCTCAGTTCCATGGGTCCTTGTTGAACGAGTACTGTCAATGGATTAAAAACAACAACCTTGAATGAGAATCTTGTTTATCTCTTTATCATTTTATATGATCTAATTATATCTCACTACTTGATAATACTTTGTCTTCTAAATATTGTTCCCCAGAGGGGACCGATACTTGCTTAATGTACTAATGGGCATTTGCGTGTAGTGTCTGTTTAGCATGTGGTTTCTTGATTCTTGCATTTACTAGCTCGTTTTAATAAAAACTCTTGCTTGTACCAACGCTTTAGTGTTCCTTTAGAAAAAGATATGCAAAGAATGTGGTCAAACGTTTGCATTTTCGTTGCATGATGCTTGTGGCACACCCTGAACCACCCAGCCCCTAAGGCAAGAACTACTTCGGGGCCACGTGAAGGCGGGACAATTGGGTAGTTTAAAAGTCTCATTGAACTAACCTGGAAAAAGGAAGAGAACAATTGTTCACCCGCAAATTAAAACGAATGGAGCAGCAGGCTGTGTCCCCAACAGTCAGGCGGCCGGGGAGGGTGCTGTTTGCAGCGCCTTTCCCAGCAGTGTAAACTTACCGGGAACACCGTGTAAACCCTGCAGCCGCCTGTGTTTGCTAAGGGCTGCAGCCTGCGAGCTATAGGTCACTCGCTGGACAGCTGACGCGGCACCAAATGCGCCTCGCCCGCTAAGCCCGGCGAGGAACGCGCCGAGCAGGTGCAGCGCCGGTGACTCCAGGCAGCGCCCTCGCCTCCCCCCCAGGCCGCGGTCCCGGCTGCAGGCACTGGGAGGCTGCTGCGCATGTGTGTTGTTCCCTGCAGTCCCCGCCATGGCTCGGTGCTGGCCCGGACTGCTGGCGCGCGGGAAGTGGGGCAAGTGGAGCTCTGGGCTGTCCAGCCCCACTCGGTCCCCGCTGCGGGCGGCCAGCTTGAGCCGCGCCCCTGGAGCCGCCGGGGAAGGAGCTCACGTGCTGTACTCGCGGGAGCATTACGCCTTGAGGGCGTCTCTGCGAAAGGTACCAGCCTGCCCTGCGGCGGGGGGGGTGGTTCCCCGCTTCGCTCAGTACAGGGGGAGCCTGGGTACTTTGCAGCCTGAGCTAGCTTTGCTCTTGCGGTGCCTGGGCGCAGGGCTCCTCTCCAGCTGCCCTCGGCCTGGGCCCTCCGTGAAGAGACCCGTGCGAGGCCCCAGTTGCTGTCCCGTTCGTTCCCTATCATCCGGCTCTCCCCACCCCCTGGTTCAGCTGTGTCTGTACAGTGCCCCTCGCTGCCATTACCCTGCCAGTATCTCCCAAGCACACCAGCTCAGGTGCTCAGCCGTGACTGCCGCCTGATGGCTAGAGGCAGTGCAGAGCCTCTCTGGAATTCGTGAAAAGCAACAGAGGGTCCTATGCATCCGAAGAAGTGGGCTGTAGTCCACGAAAGCTTA